TTGTTCATTTTAAAACCCAAAAGTCTTCTGAATTCCTCTATTTTATTTAGCCATTTTTGGATATTTTCCAGTAGGTCTTCAATTATACATATAAGATCATCAGCAAAAGCACGTGTTTTAAAGTTATTTTTTACTTTTGTTCCTTTCCAGTTTTTGTCTTCTCAAATATCTCTCAATAGAATTTCCATTACCAGTATAAACAATAAAAGGGACAATGGACAGCCTTGCCGTGTTCCTCTATTTTTTAAAAAAAAAATAGTTGAATTTCCATTAATTGTTATCTTCGCATCTTGTTGGATATATATTGATCTGATTGTGTTAGTAAAGCAAAATCTCATATCCAGCTCTGCTATTAGTAGTGTAAAGAAATCCCAGTTTAATCTATCAAATGCTTTTTCTGTGTCTAATGCCAATAATGCCAATTCTTTATGGTTATTTTCATAATAAAACTCAATTAGATTTATTATTGTTCTCACAATTTCTTTAATGTGCCGCTGAGACAAAAAGCCTGTTTGGTCTTCATGTATCCAATCTTTTAGAAAGACTTTTAGGCACTCTGCTAAAATATTCATAAATAATTTGTAATCTATATTTAGTAATCTGTGATTTAGCAATTGCACTTGCGATGGGGATTATAACAATTTTCTTGGTGGCGGCCCCTCAACTCTGGAACTCACTTCCTAAGGACATCAGGCATGCCCCAACTCTGGCAGTATTTAGGAGGAGCTTGAAAACATGGTTGTTCCAGTGTGCCTTCCCAGAATAATGAACCCTTAGCATTTTGTCCTCCAAAAGCACTTTATATTGATTTAGGACTGCTTGTATGTTCCCACTAACGCCCCACCTCCTTTATCTTGTCCATACCCAGCATTATTTTTAAACTTTAATTACATTGGCCTAGCCACAGATTTTAAATGTGTATTGTGCTATTCTTCATGTTTATGCTACTCTGTGTATGAGATTTATTTTAATTGCTTTGTATTGTTGTTATTGCATGTATTGTTGTATTGTGGGCTCAGACTCCCGAGTCCCTTGGGGAGATGGTAGCGGGGTGTAAATAAAGTTATTATTATTATTATTATTATTATTATTATTATTATTATTAAAATGTGAGTGGTCAGCTGTTCTGCTGCCGGAAACACAGCTCACACTTTTGCCACCCACTGTACTCTTTGGGTGGCTGTCTGAGCAATTGAGAGGGTCACTCTTGAGGAGTGGGTCTCTGCTGTGCCATCGGATGCCTCCCTGCAAGTTTTGCTGTCCCCTACTGCCTCTGTCCACAGCTGGGGAGGGAGCCAGTGGCTCTACCCAGTTGCGTAAGGGCTGGCTCTCAGGGAGCTCTCAAAGAGTCACTCCAGTTGCCATTACCTCACACTGGAAGTTGGCTTATACTTGAGTTGTTGTTGTTCATTCGTTCAGTCGTCTCCGACTCTTCGTGACCTCACGGACCAGCCCACGCCATAGCTCCCTGTCGGCCGTCACCACCCCCAGCTCCTTCAAGGTCAGTCCAGTCACTTCAAGGATGCCATCCATCCTTCTTGCCCTTGGTCGGCCCCTCTTCCTTTTGCCTTCCACTTTCCCCAGCATCATTGTCTTCTCTAGGCTTTGCTGTCTCCTCATGATGTGGCCAAAGTACTTCAGCTTTGTCTCTAGTATCCTTCCCTCCAATGAGCAGTCGGGCTTTATTTCCTGGAGGATGGACTGGTTGGATCTTCTCGCAGTCCAAGGCACTCTCAGAACTTTCCTCCAACACCACAGTTCAAAAGCATCAATCTTCCTTCGCTCAGCCTTCCCTATGGTCCAGCTCTCATATATGGTAATTATGTTTGAGAAAGTAGAAACCAGTGAGTTTTTTTTTACAATTTGTACTTAATGATAACGAATTACTTTGGTGGCCTTGGGACTATATGTTACATCAATTTTTATTTTGAGTAGACCAAGCCCGTTTAAATAAATGAGACTATAAGTGTTGACTAACACATTCCATTCATCTCAGTGGGTCTACCCACATTGATACAACAATTGGACTTATTCCAAACACAGCACCAAGAATGCAGTTCAGTCTAGTAGGCTGCAAAAACCTATCATGGTAGAAAGCAGGAAAAGAAGAGGATGGCAACAGTGAAATACTTAGATATGTCTCCTTGGATTAACTGCATGCTCTGTACACATCTTGTAGGCACAGATACTGTCAGTGATAAACAATGTATTAAAGATGAATTTGACAGTGGCTCCTAAATGAGGGGATAATAGAAGATCCCTTATGGAATTAGATGTGCATACCAGCATACCTGAAGAGTTATTTCGAGGAATAAAGAAAAACTACACTGCATATGTTAGAAGATTTCAAAATTACCCACTGCTATATATTGCATGGGGACAATGGGATGAGGAGAGGAATAGAAGCGTGTCAGCACTGAAAGAGAGGTTATTAAAAATTATGGGATTGAGCCATTACGAGCAAAATAACAAGTTATCTCTGCATAAAATGAGAATGGGGAAAATCATTTGGGATTAAAATTGAAGCCGTTTAGATCTCATTGGAACGTTAAACAGTTGTATTAAAGATAACTTCCTCCCCACCTTTACTATAAAGTAATATATATTTAAGCAATGTACATCTAAATGTTAGAGGGATTAGGACTATTTTGATTACAAATCTTTCATTTTCCCCTTATCTTACCTTACCATTTTGTCAACATTTTGTATTTGACCTCCATTTCAAGACTTTATATATTTTTAAAAGAAAGCAATAAAAAATAAAATAAATGGTTTCCATAGATCATCCTGCATACCAGCCTCTGTTGTCTAGAGCCTTAAACCAGAGCATTGCCTATTCAAATGGAAGCTAAATGATGCATTTGAGAATTTCTATGAAAATGAAAGTGTTTTTAAATCTCCAGGCAGGTTTTTAATTTTAAAAAGCAATATCACTAAAATGTGCCACCAGCAATCAATCCTTGGTGACATTTAGGGATATAAACATCTAGGTAGATAGTTGATTGCCCTGTGTTGTATATCAGTCTCAGAAAAGAACAGATAAAAATTTGCAAAATACAGCCAGAGAAGATGAAACCCTGACAGTACTGCTTTCCTATGTTCTTAAAATATGGATGGGAAACTTGTGGTGCTCCAGATGTTGCTTATATCAGGTTCTTTGTAACCAAAAAAGCACTTTTCATTGGATTTAGCCTGGGTAGCAAACACCTGCATTCATTCTGTGCTTTCCATTTCTTGTACATGTCCCTTATAAATCTTAGCCCAGTTGTCAGTTCCTTAAACATCTATTCTGGTTATGTAAGACACCTATTTTTCCTCCTCGTGGGAAGTATTTGAAACTCTGCCTTCAATATTTGACTTTTTAGAAACTCCCAGCCGTCATGAACTTCCTTCTCTTTTAGTATTCCAGATCATGACATCACACCCAGTATTTCCCTAAGTTTACTGCAGTTTGAGTTGTTGACGTCTAGACTTGACTTCTTCTTTCCGCTGTATAGCAAACTCTAGAAGAACATGGTCATTCCCACCTAAGAAACCTGCCATTTCCACTCCATTTGTGAGGTCATTATTGTTGGTTAGGATCATATCTCAAATAACTGATACCCTTGGAAGAATTTGTTGGTCCTTATATTCTTGGCAGAATTTGACTTCCAACCAATAACAAGAGAGTCAAAATCTTCCATTACTACTTCATCTTTGAGAGAAGGCATTGTCCCAGTATTCAGCCTGGTTTGGTGGTCTGTAGTAGACCCCCATAATAGTGTCCCTGTTGTTTCTTTTCCCCATAAATCTTTATCTTGATTCTCTCAACCTGGCTTCCAGGATTTAAGTCATGTGTTTGGGAGCTGACTGTCTCCTCAGAGATGTCCTCTGTATGTTCCCCCTCCAGGGCAGTCTGCTTTGTTGTGTCCAAAAAAAACTTCATGCTCTCCAATTTGCTGGTAGATACACAGATTTCAAGGTGCTTGTTCTGGGGCAAGAACACAAAACATACCACAGCTGTTGCTGGTGACTGCAGCAGCTCCTTCACCATCAATTTGTAGTAATCTTAAGTATGCACTGAGTAAGAATTCCATGCCTCCCCCTCAAAACTCTCCCACTTAACACCCACACAAAACACCTTCATTGGCTTCTCTCCTTTATGCCTTGGACTTATTGGAGGAAAGGCCAGAGATCATTCTAGATAATAACTAAAGAAAATATGCACTATTAGGCAGAGTGAGATGGCTATCTCTGACAGCTGGCTGATTGTAAAAAAATTAATTTGTTGTACTTTCAGTGCCAGAAAAAGGAGTGATATATTTCAGAATTTTCTTCCCCAAGTGCCAAACAATTTTGGCTGGTTCCAGGTAGAGATGCAAATTGACAACTGTTGTATCTTTGTATGCAAGGATGAATCATCCTTGTAGTTGTCTCTCCACCACAGGAGTAATAAATATTTCTGCAAATACAATTAATTTGAGAGGGCTTCAATGGGTAACCTTTGTCACAGCTTGTGAAGGGTGAAAATTCCCAGAATGTTCCAGCCAGTGTGGTCACCGGTGATTGTGGTCACTGCTTGGGGGAACCCGGGAATTGTTGTCCAAAGAAAATCCCTTTCACAGGCTCTGGCTTTTATGGAATTGAGTTAATTTTCTCCCTGTGGCTCCAAATGGGTATTTATCACCGTGGTGATGGTATTAACTGTGAGATGGATCTGGATTTGCCTTTTCCTTGAGCAGACCCATTGAAATCAACCAAAAATAGATTCATTACAAATAAGTCCTTTTCGTCCTATTTCAGTTGTTAATATATTCTAGAGTGGACCTTTAATTTCATTGGGTATGCTCTAACTGAAACTAATGTGGATCCAACCCCACGCAATTGGCAAGTGATCATGCAAAGCTAGTTTGACATAGGTTATCTGGATGTTTAGAAGTTCTTCACATACACTGTGCCTGATCTAGAACCACTGTTTTCTAAGCGTATTTTAAGATTTATTGGCAATGCTTTGTTAACAGGGATCCCCCATGACTGCAACAGTTTATGCTTCTTCCTCCTAATATGTGGTCTAAGAAGAGTCAAGGATCCACTCTATTTAGCAGATGCTTTTTCAGGTAAGTACCCCCTGTTTTTCACTTCCCATCCTGAGCGTGTTGTTTGATTCTTAGTCATACCATTTGAAGCCAATGGGACTTGCTTTCTTCTATTTTTAGTGCATTGCAAACGGTTTTGATTATTCTGCAGTCATAGATTTAGTTTTCAGCTGGTCCTTCCTGTTCTTAGACTTGTAGTCTTGTGTTGTAGTTCCTAAAATCCTCGTAGGGTATTAGCCTCTATGTTTTAATTTGAATTTGAAAGGAACTGTCCAAGGTACTGAATTCACTTTGTGATCAGGCTCAATGCCTTAAAGCAGTGGTTCTCAACCTGTGGGTCCCCAGATGTTTTGGCCTTCAACTCCCAGAAATCCTAACAGCTGGTAAACTGGCTGGGATTTCTGGGAGTTGTAGGCCAAAACACGTGGGAACCCATAGGTTGAGAACCATTGCCTTAAAGAATTCTATTAATGTTCAAGACGGAACTGGAATCTATACCCTACTGACATGAAAACCACCAGCTGCTACTGGGAAAGGAATGTTCAGAGGGACTCACCTTTGGTCAAAGAAACCAAAACAGAAAAGTAACACATTCTTGGAACTAGTCCTCATTGTTGGATCATTGACCAAATTATTGCTTTAATCGCAAGACTGATCCAATATCTGTTTTGAAATATAGCTGATTATGCTTTTATCTTAAAGTAGTTTACCAAATGAATGAAGGAATGCAACACTGTCACCCGATTAAGCAATTGTGTTTAATAGCTCCACAATTTAGCCACCGCAGGACGGCTCGGAACCTACACCAACCTAAGTGGTCAATGATGCACCCTATCTCCCTTCCTTCCTTCCTTTTTTTTGTACTTTCTGACACTCCTCATCCTCACCACAATTCACCATGCCCAACCTGTTTGGAGACTGCAATTATATTTCCCCTTCTCCATCCCTTTCTCTCTCTTTCTCATTCTCTTCCTTCCTCTACTGTACCCTATTTTTCTTTGCTAGACCCATCTTCCTCTCACTTTCTCCTTTCTTGTCTCTTCAAGCCTTTTCTTTTTTCACCTTGTCCCCAAAGAAAACCTTAAATTATGATTGGGGTGTGTTCCTTTCTCAGGATCTTAACGTTATAAGACTCATTAAACTCAATGGATCTTACTTCTGAATAGACATGCATAGATAGGATTGATCTCTTGGTTTCCATTGCCCCACTGATGTTTTCTTATTCTTATTTTAATGCTATTATTAATATTAGCATTTTTGACAACTACCTTACTCTTCCCTAAAATATTTGCTGATTATGCTGGCTAACACACATTTTGGTGCCTCAAGTATTAGCCTTGTTTCTGGGTATATTTGACTTGCTGATTCCAAAAATGGCAGCGATTTTCCTCTACTAGTTCTTGTTTTTGAGATACAGAACATAGGCCACTTACCATACATAAGGGGCACAGTAGCACAGTGGTTAAAACCACTAGCTGCAGGAAAAGCTGCTGACTGGAGGGTTAGCAGTTTGAAGCCATGAGTTGGAGTGAGCTCCTGACTGTCTGTCCTAGCTTCTGCCAACCTAGCAGTTTGAAAGCATGCAATGCGAGTAGATCAATAGGTACCACCTTGGCGGGAAAGTAAAAGGGTGCCCTATGCAGACATGCAGGCAAAAAGATTGGAGATGTCTACGGACAGTAGGCTCCTTGGCATGGAAAATGGAACAAGAATACCTCTCCTTGGCCAGAGTTGAGCATAGCCTCTAGAAGCCAGAGATGAAAAAGAGGAAGGCCTTTACCTTATCTGTGTATTGTATGTTGTTGTTGTGTAAAAGGCATTGAATGTTTGCCTTATATGTATACTGTAATCCTCTCTGAGTCCCTCCAGGGAGATAAAGTGGAATATAAAGTTTATTGTTATTATTAGTATTATTATATTACCAGTGGTTGTCCATATATCGGTCACCCATAAATAATCATAATAACAATGTCTAAGAAATTATAGCTGATGACATCTATCCAATGCAGTTTTCCGAATTGGCACCCAAACAACTCCAAGAACAGGCTTAAAAACCAAGATGCCAAGAATTTTGTTTTTGTTGGGCTGTATTATTAGAATCATAGAGTTGGAAGAGACCTTGTGGGCCATCCAGTCCAAACCCTTTCTGCCAAGAAGCAGGAAAATTGCATTCAAAGCATCCCCGACAGATGGCCATCCACCCTCTGTTTTAAAGCCTCCAAAGAAGGAGCCTCCATCACACTCTGTGGTGGGATTATTGTGATTATTCAGATGAAACCAAAACCTAGCTATAACAAAATAAAAGAAAATGAGGCACATTAGTTAATGTGAGCACCCCATTAAAAGCAGTTTTGAAAATGTTTTTCTTCTTAGAGAAGTTCTTATTTTTTTCTATTCAAAGCAGAACATGGAAAACTTACTTGATGGAGGATCCTTAAAAGTAATGTTTGCAAAAGTATTAAAACAGAGCTGGGAAGAGGAATTTCCCTCTTTTTGTTTGAAACAGAGATTAAACATCTAAGCAAACCATTTTATCCTTCCTTCAACTTTTCCTGTGTGGTTTTTTTTAAAAAAAATATTTATTTATTTACCTTATTTATATCCCTCCTTTGTCTACCCTGAGGGGGACTCAAGGCGGCTTATATATGGCACCTACACAGTGCCTCAAAACATAAAATATTCACTTAAATACGATTTAGATTAAAATTACTAACATAATAAACATGATTAAATACATTCAAGGTAAAAAACACACCATCCAGGGATCGAAGTCTGAGGCCATCCTGTAATCAATTGTATACATTCCACATTAAAATTACTGCACTCCCCTATTTTTTTGAAGGCCTCCTCCTGGAGCCATGTTTTTACTCTCCTTCTAAAGGCTAGAAGGGAAGGGGCTGATCTGCTGTCATTAGAGAGGGAGTTCCACAACGGAAGAGCCATCACTAAGAAGGCCCTGTCTCTCGTCCCCACCAGGCGCGCTTGTGATGAAGGTGGGACCGAGAGCAGGGCCTCCCCAGATGATCTTAGTCTCTGAGCTGGTTTGTAGGGGGAGATAGGTTCGGACAGGTAAACTGGGCCAGAACCATTTAGGGCTTTATAGGCTAAAGCCAGCACTTTGAATTGTGTTCGGTAGCAGACTGGCAGCCAGTGGAGCTGATGTAGCAGGGGGCTTGTGTGCTCCCTGAATGTCGCTCCGGTAAGCAACCTGGCTGCCGCTTGTTGGACCAATTGAAGCTCCCGAACAGTCTTCAGAGGCAACCCCACATAGAGTGCATTGTATATTGTATATTGTATATGGGATGTAACCATAGCATTGATCACTGTGCCAAGTCTGACCTCCTAAGGTACGAGCCCAGCTGGGGCACAAGTTTTCATTGTGCGAAAGTTCCTCTGGCCAGTGCCGAAACCTGTGGTTCCAGGCTCAATGATGAAAAATGTGAATGGCAAGCACTGAACAATTACGTTTGACAATTAGTGGGCCTGTCCCCATGACATCACTGTGGCTCCTAACTTGCGCACACAGTTGTTGGACATGAATGTGCAATTTTATTGCACTAAAATTAAAACAGTTGTAAAAACCTGCTGCTTAGTAAGCCAGAGGCACAATTAACTGATGAACTGCTCTCCTTTACAAACTCCTGGTCTTCAGTTTGAATAACTAATGCTAATATTTCCATAACCTAACCTCCCTTTAATTGTTTGATAGAATGGCACAGAGAGGACCCCAGCGTACAGCTGATTATCATTGGACCTGCAGTAAGTTTTTCCCTCTTTTATTTCCAGGCAGCCTTTCTGAAATACGTGTTCTTTGATTTTGTTCTGCCCGTATTTACATTCCTGTGTCCTTGCAAATGGGAGCTTTTAACTGCGTCCCAGAAAATTCTGTGAAAGCTTCCAGTGAATTGTAACACCCTATGGATTTGGCTAGTCTGGCCTCAATAGCACAAAAAACCTGGTAGTTGCCATATGATGGTTTCTTCTGCTATTGTACTAAAACATAAATTACATAATTTTTCAACCAAACCTGCTTCCTCTTCCACGTGGTATTCTTTGCCAAACTTGATCACTCTTTTGACCAACTTTCTTTTAGTATGAACAGAGTACTAAAGTTTTGAGTTCACCTATTGCTTTTTCCACTAGGAGCAGGTTTGTTGTAAATGCGGTGGATCTTACTTGTCCATTTAATGCCAAGTTTCTGCTAAATACATTTAAATAACTACAGATATGTGGCTTAGAAAAAATATGTTGCTGCTGGTAGAACCCTTTCTTGGTTACCAACTGTGTGGATTACACTGGCCAACACACATTTTGATGCCTCAGATGTTAGCCGTGTTTCAGCCCAGGAACAAGCAAGGGCAGTCATCAGGTTTGTGGGAAATCTGGGAAGTTTCGCTACACCCTGAGAACTCCCGAATAAGCATATAGTGGAAACAGTGTGGGGATGAAGGAGGAATCTGATGTGAAGTGTTGGAATTATAATCATTTACAAGGTAATATGTCATACATTAGGAGAAGCTTCATATCTAAGTCAAGTATACATCATTATTATTATGGAGCAGGGAATTTTGCAGCCTATCCTACAGGCCCAAGCAGTGCGTCTGTGAGTGTGTGATAATGCTCCTGCCCAGTACACAAATACTTCATCATCAGGAAAAAAATATTTCCAGCCCAAAATTACATTGCTCCAGGTTTTTCTCAAGATGGTCCAAAATGGTATTTTCTTTGGAAATTAAGTAGAGAAAGTAAGTCAACGAAGCCATGAGGGTCTTACAGATTCAAAAATGGGGTGGGGGAGGATGCCCAGACCATCTGCAATTGCGTACCCAGGTTTTAAGTGACTGAAAGTTGAAAACCTTTGCCAGACTCTAGCAAAAGCATGTCTTCCAGTTAGTAGTGATCTGTCACGTGTAGCTTAGAACAGCCCTCTCAAACTGTGTTCTGGGAAAACTCTTTAATTTTGAAAAAAAAATCTTTAAAAATCTATGTCAAATTATGAAGATTGTCTTGAAATTCAGTGTGCCTCTGCTTCAAAAACAAAATTTGAATCTGTGCCACTGGACTACTGGGTAGAACTGTTAGATGTATAGCTTCAGTCACTGGAAAGGCTATCTGAGCAATGCTCCCCTTCGTCGCCATCTATCGATGTAAATCAGACTTTTCAGTTTATGCTTACACCAAAAACACATGTAAGAGGAGGTTGGATTTATGTATTCAGCATTCCGATGTACAGCTCAGTTTCAAAACTGTTTTAAAGTACAAACATGAAACAATGTCATTCATCACTTTTGGGGTGAATCCAAAATTTTCCTGTACCGAAATCAATGCTTGTGATTATATCCAGTATTTTCTTGTACCAAAATAAAGGTTTGTGGTAATATTTAAAATGTTTGTTCCTTTATCCCCAAACTTACATAGAATCGTAGAATCAAAGAGTTGGAAGAGACCTCATGGGCCATCCAGTCCAACCCCCTGCCAAGAAGCAGGAATATACAACACTATACAATCCACTTAGGCAATAGGAGTAAATGAAAGAAGGAAGAACTTTGTGGGCTCACAAGGCTTAGGGACAGAGTTAGGGTTTCGTGGAGGGGAGGAAGTCTTCTGAAGGTTCCAGTACTAAAAGAGTTTGGGAATCACTGGCTTAGCAGACTGGAAATATATTGAATAATTTTAAAAGACAGTCCCAATGCTCACCCTTAGCAGGATTTCTTTTGCTAAAAAGATGTGACTCAAATACAATAAATACGAGGGTTATCCAGAAAGTAAGGTTACAAAGCACATAGCTCTCGAAGGGAATTGTCACGGGGGAAGTTAAAATAATAATAATAATAATAATAATAATAATAATATAACTGGAAACCAGCAGAAGCGAACGAGCAGTGCCAGTCATCAGTAGCTCATCAACTGGCGTTGTGGTGAAGGTTAGAGATGAGCATCCTCATTCCGTTTCCTTCCAAGTGCGAAGTTCACACTGTAATATGCTACCTAAATGCTAAGGGCATGAACGCCGCTGCGATTCATCGCGAAATCATTTCAGTTTATGGAGAGGACGTAATATCAAGACAACATGTGACAAAATGGATACAGAATATATTGTGAGACCATGAAGAAATGATGCTGACAGCGGGAGTCTGTCTCCTTCATGACAATGTGCGTCTGCACACCGCTCATGCAACACAAGAGTTGTTGACTTCATTTGGTTGGGCTCTTTTAAGCCACCCCTCTCACAACCCTGATTTTGCACCCAGTGACTATAATCTGTTCACTAAATTGAAGGAACACCTTGGTGGAAAACCCTTTTCCGATGACTACGAGTTGAAAATCAAAGTGACAAACTGGCTGAAAAAGGCAGAGGGAAACTTCCTCCTCCCGCATGTATTAGATCCAGAGTTGGAGATGATTGGAAAATGAAAATGCGTTGTTATAGTATCCTACACCTTCAGAAGTTGCTCACCCTGGTCTAGATAAAAGCTTCTGGCGAAAACACAGAGTTCGAAACTAGAGAAAATACATCAAGTTCCCTCTCTTCCCTTAGAATGTCATTTCTACTGAACTCCTTTGTGTTTTAAATTATCTTTTGGGATGAGGAGCATCAACCACATCGAGACGGGGTGAGGTGGGGAGAATATCAGAATGAGATTTCAGATCAAGTGACCTGAAGTCAGCCCAGATTTTCCTGCATAGCTAAATCTTTGGAAGACCTTTCCCTTGAATATCCTGAATCCCAGTGAAATAACCTGAAGCAAACGGCATAACTGTTTAAATCGTTTTTAGCTATTGTTGTTATTGTTTCAGGCATCGAATTGTGCCGTTGTCTGTAAGCCGCCCTGAGTCCCCCCTCGGGGGTGAGAAGGGTGGGGTATAAGTAATTGAAATAAATAAATAAATAATGGCAATAATCATTTTAATACTCTTTGTGTTAAGCAGGAGCTCCTGGTCAGAACCATGGTTTGGGGAAACCCTCCTTAATGGCCAGCCCTATTGTTAACCAGGATGAGTCAATGGCCTGAAGTAAAAGATGCTGGTGACAGTCTCCAAGCCGTTAAACCTGAGCCCCCTCTGATGGCAGATGGCTCAATGTTGCCCCACAGATGTGCTGTTGAAGCAAGGCCCTACCTCCAATTGACATGGAACGGGGGAAAGGCATTCCCAAGGCTTTAGGTATGAGAACGTATTGGGCCAGCCGCACCCTTCCTTAATTTCTTTTACTGCCAAAAAGAGCACCCATCTTCCCCCTCCAGTATTGCTGTTTTCTTTGGACGGTGCTGTTTGCTTTTCTAAGCATGTATATCGGCCTTCTTGGCCTCCATAGTAGGCAGGCAGTTATCCCCTGTGGAGCAAACGTGTTCCATGACTACTGATGAGCTGTTGATTTCTCTTTCTACGCCTCTCACGTTGGCTCCAGCAGCTCATCTCTGTGTTCCGCTCCGTTCAGGCTATTTTGAGGCCATTTCGGCTGGTCTGTGTTTGCACATAATTAACAGATGTTAGCTGGTAGCAAATGACGAAGACTTCTGTCTGGCAAGAGCCTTTACAAAACTCTAGCTGAAAATGGATTTAGGCAGGTGTGGGAGCAGGCACGTCAGGTCAATCTGATTTACTAGGAGCAATCCAGGTGAAAATCTTTTGGGTTGCAGTGTTGGGATAGCTTGGCATTAGGGACGCCAAGGTTGAGTGAGTGGGACGGAAATATGCCCCCTTCTCTTTGACCCCAAATTTACTGAAGGATAAATTATCAAGTTATGTAGAAAACTCTTTGGAAATTTCAATGGAAGAAGAATACATTTGCGGGCAACACTAGCCCCACAAGAGGACCAAAAGATGTAAATAGGTTGTTAAAATAATAATAATAATAATAATAATAATAATAATAATAATAATAATCCACTGCGCTATATGCAATTAATTATTTCTCCTCGTTACAAAAGTATAGCTTTCTCACATTCTGATTATAAAGTAATGAGCAATAATATCACTCATTTTGTGGCGTAACTGTAACTTTACAGTTACTCTTATGGATTCATTGGTGTGCGTTTGCTAAATGGCTGTGTCTCATGCTCTTTTGTGGGTATTGAGACAACAGTGAGATTTATTTATTTATTTATTTATTTATTTATTTATTGCAGTCGATAACCCGCACCAAAAAAAAATGGACAAACATCAGAATAGTAACATATACATTTAGGTATTAAGAAATACTGTCAAAAGCAGTTAAAGCCCAATATTGAATATGATAGTGAGTTAGAGAGGAAGCTATGAATCATGAGATGGACAGGAGACCAGTGACTTGTGGCATCCCAGATGATTGCTTTTTTAAAACGAACACAAAGTTATTTAATTACTTTTGAGAAATAGAATATTAAAAAACAGTTTTCAGTATGTAATTATATCACTGACCTAGCACTGAAGGGTGGTTTCAAATGAAAACTCAGAGAGTAATTTCAATGTTATCTATACACATTAAAAAACGAAGAAGAAAAAAAGCTCCCACTACTCAGGAGACACGAATGGCCCTTCCTCGAATGACATTGTATGTTATAGTGAGCACCATGAACATGTACGTGAGCCCTGCCGGTGGCCTCCACAAGTGAAGCCTTTCATACAGGGACAATTTCATCCTAGATTTTCTGTTTTTCATCCACCACAGACATCCCAGTGTTCCTTACTCTCTTCATCGGTGTGGAATTTGCATGATCCTGCCCACTGCCTCTCCCTTAATTCTTTCCTATCCTTTCCTATGGCACCTAGCAAACAGA